TAACAAACGACACAAATTAATGTTCCCTCTCAAAGATGTTAACAGTAAAGATGCCCAGCAATGCAATACCCTGCTCTGGGAAAGTCCTCCAGCACCACACAGATGGGCCCAGAAACTCCCTGAGTATCTCCATTCCTGCCCAATGTCTTCAGGGAAGAAGGTCAGTGTGCAGCAAGGAAGGAGACCAGACATGACCAGACTCTGGATTGATGGAGGAGTCATCAGCTCCCAGGGCTGTGGGGATAACACCAAGGCTATGAGATCCTGGAAGGGGGCTGACCTAGGAGGACAACTACCAAACAGTGCCTCGAACCCAACAGAAATCTGATTGTGGGAACTGGAAGTGAGATAATGAGCCCAGTTCACCAACTAAAAACTACTGGAGCTGCTGTTCAGAGAGAAAAAAGAAAAAAGAAAAAAAAAAAAAAAAACCAAAAACAACTAACACTGGAGCTGTACATACAGTTCTCCTTTTCTTAAGGAAAGTCTATATTCAGTATAAGAAAATAAGAAGTCTGTACTTCTGGACTAAATCTCTGTGGCATTTAGGACACTGGAGCTGCAGAAAACCAACCTGTCCACTGTTAACTCCAGCTGTGGCACTGACAGAGTAAATTGTCACCAATTCCCAAAAGATGTCGTCGTGGATTGCTGATTTACCAAAGTCTGCACAAACAAGCTCTGCAGCATCAAGAGAGAAAACGCAGGAAGCCTGCGCAAGGAATACTTTTAACACATTCAGGTCCTTTTTTTTAATCACACTCTCAGCTGAGATACCAACAAGCACAGAGATTCTGGAGATTTTCAACCCAGTGACCCACGGAGAGATGAGAGCGCAGGAGTGTTTGTGGTTTGCATGCTGTATTTTAATGTATGTGATGTCTGCACTGAGAGCACCCAGAAGAGAGGGCAGCATTGGCCACTGACCTGGAAACACACAGCTACAGTGGAAAGAGTGTGTGAGTATCTGATGCGTGACAGTCGCACTTGACATTCTACAAACCCCTTAAGTGCTGCAGCTTTGCAAAGAAAAGGAGGGCAGCAAGTTGCTTATAAACCACAGCTTCATTTCACTCCGGAAAAGTTGTATGCTGTAGTCTCTTTTTTTTTTTTTTTTTTCCCCCTCCTCTGTTTGAAACAAAGGTTTGTAATTTGTGACTTATTTTGAAATCTTCATTAAAACTTCCCATTCCTCCTTATGAAAGGGAACCTTCAAAAGTTAACAACAGGAAGGATCAGCAATGCTGAAGCAAACACAGTCCTGTGTCACACATCACTGATCACTTGCAGGGATCAAGCAGTACTTGCCCATCGTTCCCTAGCAATGGGAGGTCCTTCTGAAGCACTACGAGGAGGTACCACGGGCAACAGAACAACGGACCTAAGAGAGCACCACCAGTTTGATGCTCCTTTTGTGTCTACCAACCATTGCAGTGTAAATCCCACATGCTCCTGCTGCCAGTCACGCAATACGTCGAGGCACCCGTGTGATGTCTGATATTTCAGATACTAAGAAGCTGAAGAGTTTCTTACCACTATGAAAAAGTCACTGAGATCCTGCCACAAAATGACTAAGAAATCAACGATATCTGAAACTCAGCATCTCCTCCAGCTCTGATGACCCAAGCTCCTGCTCACTTCCCGTGTCTTCTCTGTTAAATGGATGTAAGCTAGCACAGAGAAAATCAATCCTAAACTCACTTCATGCCAAGCCCCGTTCAAAAAAAGGCAGACCCTTAGTAGTCTATCTCTTCCCTGAGAGATTTTTGTCTCTTCTCTCCTTGCTCCTGTCTCCTTCTGTTTGCTTGACATTAATACAGACAAGCAACTTAGGTGGGAGCTCACCAGCCATCAGAGTCCTGCAATCTTAGCTTCATATAAAATGGAATTTATTGGTAGGTTTGGGGGGAAAAAATAAATTACCTCCAACTGTCTAACCAACCTGCCTGGTCTCCTGACATCTCTTATACAATGCTCTGCAGAAGTAAGTGGTTGACTGAGTTGTTTCGTCTTCCTTAGACTTATTGTAGCTGTGGCACTACAACAGAAATTACTAGTAAAACATGTTATTAATGCTACTGTTTCACTGGTTTGACTTAGGTCCTCAATCTAACAATGACATCTATTGCAAAATATCATCTAGAGGACAAACTGCCAAATCAGAGCATGCTAAAGTCAAAGGGATTCCTTAATTAATCTGATTAACCACCTACTCCTCCCAGTTTTGGAGTAGGTCATCAGTGAAAAATTACGTATACTGATCTAAATTATTTATACAATTGTTGATTTTTTAAATTAAAGCTTTTCCTGGAGGTCCTGCTTGTGCCTGAAGCTTTGCGTAATCAAATAATTTCCATTGCAATTGTTTTAGTTGTTCTTATTTGTTACTACGAGAAATAGAAACAGCTTTGGGCTAAGCAATAACTAAACACAGAAGCCAGGGGGGAAGAAAAAAAAAAAAAATTATCCCTGCCCCAGCTAATTCATTATTTAGGAGACATGAGATGGGGCACAGGAAAGGGGTGCTTTCATCTCATCACACACAGACATCTCCATCGGAGCTACACTTTCCTGGTTTCCTCTCTGGCTAACGAAGTGTGTCCATGCTGGAAAGAGATACACCACATCCTGCTTGCAGCTATAGCTCTCCACTGACAATAAACTTCTGTCTTGCCTTAAAAGGATATATGCATTAGCAGCTTCTTGCAGGCAGCAGAAAGGAATAGCTCCCCCTGAAGTCATCTCCTGTGACTCCCCAACATCACCCATGCCAGAACAATGGGCAAGTGTCAGAAGAGACAGGGGCTGGTGGTATCTTTCGTTTAGTGGTGAGTCACAAAGTGCTTCAGCAAGTAAGAGCATGAAGAGAAAAAGGAGACCTCTGAACAGTGACACAGGGTCTGAACGTGACCAAGGAAGTGATGGCCTTGCATGGAAACTAGCTCAATTCATGAGCCACGAGGTCCAAGATCAAGGACACCTCTACCCCCAGGAGAAGAATCTCTGGGCTCCGGTTCATTACTCCAGACTGATACTCAACAAAATTTACCATTAATCAGAGACAAGAGAGAAGTAAGATGTTTCTACAAAGAAAGACACTAACCCTCCCTGGATGGTCCTTTAATTGTATAGGTTCTCCCAGCACATCCATCACCACATCTCTGAGGACATGCACTACGTGCTGTAGTTAAGCACCCACACCCTACAGCAGAGTGAGAACCTAGTCCCGAAAAACATTTGATCCATCATTTGCCAGCACTTTCGCTTCCATTTGAACCATACCAAAAAGCAGGAATCAGGGATTTTCCTGCTTTGGTCTCGGGAGGGTAGTGCTTTTGAAAATGCTTCTGAAATTTCATTTTCTGTCACTGAGTTGTAGGAGCGATGGAAGTGTGGGGGCACTCACACAACAATCCTGATGGATGGCAGGAACCAGCTCACTTCAGAAAACATTAAGCTCGGCTGTAGTCATCTACAAGGCAGGCCCATAGTTTCGGTTCCTCGTATACGTCCCTTCATCAGTCCATGAAGACAGGCACTTCCCAAGAGCAGCTTATCTCATTATAAAGGGACAATGAATTCTACTTAGCATAAGGAGAATAAACTGCCCACTGAAACCAGAAGGAGCCTATGCAAGTAGCATCACTTGACATTTCATCTGGAGGTGTCTGGAGTGCTACGAGGTGACATTTAGCTCAAGTCTGACATTCCCAGTTGCTTGACAGGATTTTGAGATCCAGATCCCTGCAACGTTATCCAACAGATGAAACCTAGTTTCTCTTTATTTTGCCAAAATCTGCTCTATTTTAGGTAGACAACACAAGTCTCACAGCCTCATGAAAGTATGAATTCCACACGTTTCAGTTAGGCCTAACAGCAGCTTTCCTCACTTAACAACATGCTTTGATGCCCAATGAGATAAACCCAGTTCCTAAACCATTTTCCATAACTCATCTCTAAGTAGCAGCCGCAATAGCAATGGCATCACAGTCAGCAGCACCTGGTTTCTGACATACCCAGGAAAAAGGAGACCTTCTTTGCAAAGGAGTAATAGAAAAACATCTTGCACAGAAAAATAATCAGCAGGAAAGCCAGGAAATGCCAACCAAAGAAATAAATAATACACCAGCCCATCACCTAGCAGTCTGGTGAAGCTGTTGCTACTGTATGTGCATACCCACATGCAAGTGGTCACACTGGAGGCAGCAGCAAGGGCCCTCGCCCTTGAAACATTCAAAGGTTTTTTTGGCAGGGCGGAAGCCCCTGTGGTTAGGAAAGAAAACCACAAGGTGTTAAAAAAAAAAAAAAATGCATATCCCTGGGGCATGGGGCTTTCTCAGTGGGTTTCAGATCACAGACCACCTGCCTTGCACAAAGCAGCTTTTGCAGAGCAATTGCAAAGAATCGCAAAGAGAACAATAGAACACCTGAAAAACTCAGCTGCGAGTCAGCAATGCATGTGCTTGGAGATAAATAATGCGTATGGATGAATGCCATGAAACACCTGTGTATTGCTTGCTAGGTAATAAAACACAGTGAGCTCTGCCATCTGCATGAGACCCCTTGAGCGCGCTCAAGGAAAGACAGCAGAATCCCTGCCAAGAAACGCAACCTGGGGCCTGCAGACAAAGCACGGGGCTTGTCCCCAACTTCTGCAGAGCTGGAGCTGCTGTGAACCCCCAGATGGCTGGGAGACAGCAGGCTGTGGTGGCTGGTCCTCAGGCACGAGCATCATCAGGCTCCATCTCTAGGGAAGTCATTGAGGCAAACCCCTTGAGGCACCATTGAGAGCTGATAATGATAAATGAGCCCAACTTCTGGATTAGAACTGAATTTCTTCAGATTTTTTTTTTCCCCTTCATTTTGCCGCAGATGCCGAACGCCATCTCTTTACCTAAGAGGGTCCTGATGACATCACATCCTCTCCAAAGAACAACGCGGCCTCCCAAGTCAAGTGAGAAAGATCATCTCTGCTCCACCGCACCGCCCCCTCGGACAGCCACCCCTAGGAGAAGATGGCCGGGTCTCCTGCTCTGCTGCTTCTGCTCGCTCTGGAGCTCTGTGAGTATGGACACTGGGTTGTGCATCACCTTCACCAGGAGGGACAAGTAAACCCCTTCCAAAGAATCCAATGAATTGGGTTAAGCTAAAGGGAAAATAAAAAGCAAACCAAAAAGGCTGACTTTGAGGTTTGCTCAGTAATTGTGGAGGTGAAGGCGACATCACCTCAGCCAGTGTAGGGCAGCCAGAGGGGTGGCTGCAGCATCATGTGTACCAGGAAGGGAGCCTGGTCAGAGAAGTGGATCTGGAGGGGACGGGGACAGGAAAAAGGGGGTTTAGCAGTCAGTGGCTTTAGGGAGTCACCTCAGATAAGCTGGGAATATGTAACATACCTGAGCAGGCAGCTGGAAAGCTTTTCTGAAGGGCAGCACCTATCTTTAAAGCTCGGGGGGCTGATTACTGAGCACCCTCCACACACAATCCCAACAAGGACTCCAATAAAACCTTCAAGTCATCCAGACAGAATGGTCCTCCTTTTGCATTTGACCTCACATCCCATGGACAGGGAACAAGAGGTGGATGGAGCTCTTCCCGAGCAGTTCCCACAAGGATTTCTCTCCCACAAGGCTGCCCTGGGACCCATAGCCAGAAGGATGATATGAGGGTCACGTTTCGTGACAGGAGAATCAGTCATCCCAAGCTGGGACAGCGGCTGGAGCTGGAGTGTCAGACCACCAACGCGGAGAACGGTGTATTCTGGGTCCGCCAGAACAAAGATGGGACCCTTCACTTCATTGCCTTCATCTCCTCCCTGTCCCGGGTCACCTTCAAGGAGAAGCAGCCATCCACACGCTTCGAGGCAAGGAAAGACCGCAACATCTACCATCTGGCAGTGAAGTCTTTCACGGCAGCAGATGAGGGGAACTATTTCTGCTTCATGAACGCCAACCAAGAGCTGTACTTCAGTCGTGGCCAGCCTGCCTTCTTCCCAGGTCAGCAACACTTCCACCCAACCTCACTTAGCTTTTCCAAAATGCCCAGCACCTCCTGCCCAGGCCTTCTTTTTAATCAGTCGTCTCTCCCACAAACCCCATTTTCCCTGCTTGCTTGCCCAAGGCATCTTGTGACCAACACACCTATCCTCCTGCTGGAGGCTCCCTGCTTACCAACTCTTCTCGTGGTATCACTCCTGCCCAAAGGTAAAGGTGATCGGGCAGACCCAGCATCACCTCCCCATCCCCTCTTCTCTATCCCATTCATGGCTCTGAAGGCATAAGGTCTAAATCAAAGTCTACCACCACCCCTCCTTCCTCACCTACCAACCTCAGGGTACTCAGGCATTCTGAGGGTCGTGGCAGAAAGCAAGAAATAAGGAGCCTGCAGCTCCTGATTGGGTGTTAGGAGACCCTTCCTGGGGGAGTCACCATCCAAAATGGGCTCTGTGAAGTCCCCCCAGACCCAAGCCCTATGCTGGCCACAGAGGCAGCCGTGCCCTGGCAGAGGTGGGAGAGCAGAAGAGCCGGAGAGTGCTATTTTACTGTATTTCTCAATATGCTGTATTCATTTGTAGTCACCACCACAGCAGCACCCACTGCACTGGCACCCACCACCCAGAGTGGCATCACCAGAAAGGACCCCTGCCTGAAGACCCTGGATCCAGGTAGCTCAGCTGCAGGGAGGGAGAGGGGAAGAGCTGTGCTCCGGTCCACTGATACCGAGGGGGATGCTGCAGGCATTACAGGATTAAGGGGAGGGAAAATTCTTAGAGCTTCATCAGAGCTGGATAACTGGGTATGCGCAGCTGGGAGGATTAAACCTCAACATTTCATCCCACATAGGAGAGGCTAAGGACGACTTAAAAGGAATGAGGATGTCTCATGACTGGGTACACTGGCAAAGGTGGAGGGAGGGCAGAGCCTTGGGGGCTGGTGCTGGTTTTAGCCTCAGCAGGGGACACAAGAAAAATTTTAGCTACATGTCCTCCCTCAAGTCCCCAGGAAAATGGCAAGAGCAGTGGCACTCACGAACGCTCACCACTGGGGATGACACCCATGCGGGGCTTGTGGGCATCCCCGGTGCCCACCTCTGTCTTTGTGGGCCAGGGGAAGACCTCTGCTTCACTGCCAGCATTGCTGAATGCCAGGCAGGTCCCTCGGTTCCACCAGAGCTGGCCATAACACCAGCCCTGAGCATCTGGTGGACCTTTCCTCTTTATTTCTGCAGAGAACATGAAGAAGAGCAAGCTGAGTTTATTCTGCGACCTCTTCATCTGGGTTCCCCTGGCAGGCGCCTGCCTCCTGCTCCTCATTGCCCTGGCAGTCACCGCCGTGCTGTGTCAACGTAAGACTCACCCGTAGCCCCCTGCAGATATTCCTCTTGCCCAAAACCACATCCCTGTCCTTCAGTGGAATGGATCTTCCAGCTATCCCCTTTACATAGACATCAGATAACCAGGACACAGTCAACCCAAGAGAAGGACCACTGTTTAAAAAAAAAAAAAAAAAAAAAATCATTGCCGATGTTTTCCTCAACAGTAGACTTAGCCTGAGAAATAATTGCCAATTGCTACACTACAAGGAAGAAAAATTCATTATAACTAGAGAAAACTTATTCTATCAAACTATATCAGCTCTACAATCCTTAAACTGGTGCATCAGGGGGTAAAAAACGGCTTGCAAATTCAAATGCTGAGACTCCCATTAGCAGCTTGAACTGGAAGCAAATGAGCAACTTAATTACACAGGTTCAGAGATTGCTACAGTGAAAGCAGTAATGCAAAAATCTCTGGGTAGGCAAAAATCCTTCGGTAAAATTTCATATCTGAAATGTCTTTAAGTTACCCTGAGCAAGCAGTGAGTGCAAATATATTTAAATCAATTTAATGCTCGCCGAAATCAGTTTAACTTTCCGTTACCCCCAGGAGTTACACCGATTTCATTAAATCGGCTCAGCTTGTTTTCCTGGAACACCAAAGTGTTTTGCTACTGAATTAATCTCTCTGACCCTGCAGCCTGGAGCTGATGTGAGATGAATTTACCAGCTGACCCGGTTAAAAATGGTACAATTTTTCAGCATCCTTCAGCCCTGAAAAATACTCATCACCAGGGTCTGCAGCGATAGGAAGGAATACATGAAAAATCATAGATGAGCCACAGCCAAAAATCATTCTTCTCAAGGGAAATAGATGATGATGCAGCAGAGCACCTGGAGTTGGTCCAAATTCCCTCTGAAGTCACCAGGACCCCTCTATGTGCACTAGGATTCTCTGGTGACCTGCAACATCGTTAACCCACAAGCACCACTCAGTGATTTGTTTCTGCCTTTTAATGCTGATGTGAATTATCAGTGGAAAGCCATTAGCTGCAATTAATTTCTGCAGCAGGCAGTCTGAGCCCTCAAATACAGATTTTTTTTTTTTTAATTTTGTACTAAAATTAATGATTGGACATTGTTATTTTGCCAAATACATCCCAAAGTAACAACATAGATGGTAAAATGGGGAAGAGTATCGTTCAACTTGGTTGCATGCTGTGTGGCATCATTGCCACTTGCCTGTTGTAGAAATTAATTGCTGACAGTGAATTTTTAGCAACGTGCCAGAGTTGCTGGAGACAGAAGGGAAAAAAAAAATAAAAAAAAAATTTCACTGTCAGTGCTCCCAGGCTGACCCTGCTACTGTTACTCACAGGAACAATTTTCATGAATTAAATTTTAAGTGGAGTTCTGAGGAAACATGAGCAGCAGTACCACTCCTTTGCATGGCTTTCCTTAAATATAAGCTTGGTTTATCTTAGTCTTAAAGACAGCAAGCTGCTAGGGAATGCCAGCCCTACCCCACTGCAGTGTTTCTTTACTGAGCTGTGACTCGGTGTCTTTGAACTAAAACATTTTCTTTTTTATTTTAGAAACCCGAAGACGAAGATGCAGATGTAAAAGGTCAGTAAGTGGCAGGTGTTGACCTTTTTTTTTTTTTTAAGCTTGGCACCATCTCACCCTCAAGCAATTAAAGTAGGCAGGTGACAAAAAGTGAACTAAAAATTCTTCGTTTCCTATACAATGGATGGGAAGGGACTGTGTAATGAATTAAGGGCAAAAAAGAGAGAGAGAATTCTCTTCTCCCGTGTTTGTTCTTTTAACATTAAGTAATTAAAATCACTGAGCACTGACACTGCAGTAGAAACTAAAGACAAACACAGGAGGTGTCTGTGGCAGCCAAAAAACTTTGCCCATTACCTGCTGCTTATAACTGACATCACATTTGTGTGCTCCCAACGCACCACTCCAACTCTAGCCTGGGGATGACCATATTTCATCCCTTCCCCTCCCCAAACCATTCATTTCATTTCATCACTGGACCTTCAGGTTGCGGCCATGGACTAGATGCAAGTTATTTCCCTCTGCACAATTCTGGACCAACATCACCATGGCTTAATGCCTCGAGCTGCCCAACAGGAACCAAGTAACAGTAGCAGCGAGGCTGATGCAGCCTTCAGTGACTTTCTGAGAAACAGCAGTGTGGCTATGTATAGCTTTGGAGTTAACCTATTTTCTAGGGCAGACAGAAATCCTTTTTTTTTACGCTTCCCCCCCTCTGCCTCCCCAACCTACCCATCATCCTGAGGCACCAGGAAAACACTATCGGAGTCAGAATTTCAAATTGCCAGTTTGGAACAAGAAATCCTTTCGCCCATAAGTAATACACGTTTTGCTTCTGCAAATCGACCTCCCTGCGGCTGGTTTCTTCACCTTGCCTGCTTTGCAGAAAACCACTTCTGTAGTTTCGCAAGCCTTGTGCTGAGCGTGCACCCTGGGGCTTGTCACAAGAGCGTGCTCTGGCACCAAAATCCCCGCTACTGCTCTCGCTGGGCCAGCGCCTGGGAAAGCTGGGTTGCAGAAAAGTCTGGAATAATATGTTCAAGCCTCTGGAGACTTATTCTTTGCAAATCAAGCACCCTTTAAATCAGATAAATTCAAATTCCTTCTTATACATGCACAGGTTTCATAGTTAAAATTTAATAGCTTTTTACTCGTCCAAATTACGATCACCAAGAAAAAAACTCCCTCCCCCTATATTAACAGCAAATGGATCCCTACAATTTTTATTTTTTTTTTTTTTAAATTGATGCCTGAGTAATAACAGTGTTTAAGAGGCACTGAGTGGCCATACCTTCTGCCTTTTGGGGGGCAATAGTCCTATGTATATATCAGAATATAGCTGCACCCAGAGTCCTGCAATTTCTTTTACCTGTCTGAAAAAAGGGGAAGAGCCTTTCGGTTTTATGACATTTCTTATATCCAGCACTCTTCTGATCCTCGCCTGGCTTTCAAGTGCTAAATGATAACAAAGAGCTCTCCTTGCAGCCTTGTTTAAGACAATGCTTACATTCTTTGCTTATCTCAATCCTTGTTTCTAACCCTGTGCAAAATGTTCTGTCCCTACGGGGAGGGGGGGGGCTGTCTCTTATACACATCCTTTCATATGAAA